TCACAAACCACATAGACTCTTCGGGCCCCCTGAGGGTGGCTCTTACCTAAAAATGCCGACTTCGGCGCATGGACCAGGAAAGTTTCAATCGCACAGTACATGCGGCCCCCGCACGTGGTATTTTTGTGGAAGAGCCCCCCTCAAGGGGCCAAAGAGCCACATGTGGCTCGTGAGCCGCAGTTTGCCGACCACTGGCCTAGGATCACACTGCGGGAGGTGGTGGAGGTGGGGGTCAGTGGGGGCTTCTGCCTGGGTCCTGGCCTTGGCCACAGCGCCACACTGTCCCCCTTGCTGCTCGCCAGCTGCGAGCGGCTCTGGCCCCTGGCCCCTGGCAGTAGGGTCTTTCGGGGGCTCCTGCATCCTGGGCCACACCCCGTCATCCCCCGCTCTCCCCTGCAGAATGTGACACGCAGCTCTTTGGCCCCCGGGGTGAGATTGCCAGCCCACTGGCGAGTTCCGATGGGAGGAGCGTGGGGGGCTGCCGCATCTTCATCGACGTGGCTCCGTGGGCGCGTATCGCCATCCACGCCCTGGCCACTGACATGGGCACCGAGGGAGCTGAGGCCAGCTACATCTCGGTGAGGCCACCATGAGGGCGACAGCAATGGCTGACTCTTGCTGTGGTCTGGACAGCTGTCCCTGGGGACGAGGACCGGGGTGCTGGGGTAGAGGACCCCCCGAGTCTACTTCAGACCAAAACCTTCAAAAATTAGTGCAGGAATGGGAGAAAAGCGCCTCCTCCACGTACTCACCGGCAAATGCTGACTGTGCCCCCACAAGAGAGAATAGAAAAGACCTAGTCCCATGTGGACAGCCCGTTAACCCGGGCCTGAAGCACAATGTTAGAGCCGGAGACAACTTTGCCAGGAGAGGGGCACCCCCTCCCCCATGGGGTGTGTGTGTTGGGAGAATTGTCCTCTGCCCGGTGTCAGCTCCTCTGGATGAGGCAGCCTGACCTGGAATAGAGCAGACCTGGGCCCAGGTCCCAGCTCAGGCGCCCCGGGGGAGTGGCCAGCTCGGGAGCCCTGGCTGTGAGCCCCGGGGGAGTGGCCAGCTCAGGGACCCTGGCTGTGAGCCGGGGAGGGGCATGAGCTCTCTGAGCCTGCTTCCTGGGTGGGCTAACAGTGCCTTCCTCAGAGGGCTGTTGGGTGAGGACTGAATGTGACCCTGAGCGTAGATCCTGGGGCAGTTAGGGCTCCACGAGTGCCCGCTGGTTTTCATTTGTGACCTGCCCCTCGGGGCTGCCCCTCTCCTCCCAGATCCGGGACATCCACAGTCTGAAAACGACCACATTCCGCGGGCAGCAAGCACTCTACTGGGAGTCAGAGGGCAGCCAGGCGGAAATGGAGTTTAGCCAGGGCTTCCTGGACACACATGCCCGCCTGCGGGGCCAGTACTGGACACTGCAGTCCAGAGCTCCCGCGCCCCGCACTGCCCCGCCCTAGCTGCCTCTCCCAGCACGACGGGTCCAGTGAGGGGTGCTCCCTCCAGTTCTGGGGGGGAGAGGAGGGGAGCTGACCTGTATGAGCTGCTGGCTGCCTGGCCGGCCCCGGAGTGCTTCCCGATCTGAACTCCCTCCCCTCTTCAGTGTCGCCGTCAGCGCCTTCTCCAACGTGCACAACGTTAGGGGGCAGAAGGGGACACACTCTGGCATGGCAGCCCCAGCCGTTCAGGCACCAATAAAAAGGACGTGCGGTCTGACTGGCGTTTTCTTCACAAAAACTGTCCAGATCTGCTTGCAAGCCCGCCGCACAGCAGGCGGGGCCCCGGCCGAGGTGGAGTTCCAGACCCGTCCCTGACCTGGTCGAACCTCTAGCCACTCCTGACGGTGGTCCAGGGCGCGCGGTCACCACTGGGCGCTGACGCCGGCTCACCTGTCCGTTTTCCGCCAAGCCCCGCCCCTCGGCTAGCCCATTGGGCGGGTTTGTCCACCTGGGAGTCCTGCGCCGCCAAAACCAGCCCCTATGCTAATGAGCGCGAGCCCCTCGGGCCAACCTCTGCATCGCCCCGGAACTCCGCCCCCTATGCAAATAAGCACCAGCACGTCGGGCGCTACTCGCCTCGGACCTGCAAGCCCCACCCCCTATGCTAATAAGGCCGCCTTCCCACAAGGCAGCGCGCTGGCCAACGCGGCCGGCTCTAGAGACCTTTGTGAGTGCGGTGGGCTGCGCCGGATAGCGGCACCATGAGCGGCTCTGACGGGGCCTCTGCGACGTCCGTCAACTCCGCGCCGCCTGCGCAGGAGGAGGGCATGACGTGGTGGTACCGCTGGCTGTGTCGCCTGTCGGGGGTGCTGGGGGCCATCTGTGAGTACACGGTCTGGGCGAGGGGCGGCCCGCGGCCCATGCCGCATGCGGGCCTCCGGGCCCGGGACCTTGGGGCGGGGGGTCTGCGGGGCACGCGCGGCCTGCCCGGGCGGGAGCCATTGTCGGAACTGGCGCCCGGGCGGTTTG